CTCTCTCTCTCTCTCTCTCTCTCTCTCTCTCTCTCTCTCTCTCTCTCTCTCTCTCTCACACACACACACAGAGAGCTACTGATAAGCATTTGGATTAAGTTTCTTGATCCGCCAATGGTTGTTAGTAAATCATTTTGAAAGTCTCCGAGTAGTACAAGGGCTAAAAACCGATAGCGTTTCAACTAGGTAGCAAGCATGAGAAACGACAGTCACTGCCAGAAGCAAAGCAAGCGCGGACCGCGCGGTCTTTAACCTTTAACTACAGAAAATTCACAACTGGGACCGCCGATATATAGCTTGAATGTTCACAGTGTAAACTTGGTGGGATTGGCATCCCTACGTGCCGTGCGGGCCGTCGCAGCAGCACCGCCGCCGCCCAGGGCAAAATAATTGGAATCAACTTCCTGGCAATACTCCCTCCCCAGTGGGGCGCAGAGGGCGCGCTGGGGCGGGGCGGCCAGGCCGGCTCATCCTATCGATTGGGGCGCCCGTATGCAAGTCCAGCTGCTCCGACCGGGACGAGGATCCCGACGACGACCGCGGGAGAACGTCATCCTGCTCCTAGACCAGGAGGCTCCAGCGCTGGATCATCCCCTGCTCCAGCCGCGGAGGGCCTCGGGTTCGGAGCTCAGGGACGCGGAGGAGTCAGGGACGGAGTCAGCTGGGCTGAGGCGAGGCGCCATCATATTTCCGTCAAGGGGAATCCGGGTTACCGGAAGCGCCCGCCCGGGTTCCGGATTCAGGGCGGCGGCTCCTCCTCCGGGCTCCGGGTACGAGGCTACCATTACCGGGGCTTGGCTTTTTATTCCCTCCCTCTCCCTGCCCCTCTCCCTCTCCCCTGCTGCGCCGCACACCCCATCAATACGCGTTCTCTCCCGCTCCACCATCCCCTTCGAATTTGGAGGAGCAGCAGCAGCAGCAGCAGCAGCAGTAGAGAGAAATTTGGAGGAGATTGTAATCCGAAGATCGTGAGGTGCTGCCGGCTGCACGCCTTCGCGCGCGGACGCACAAATACCGCCCCGCCACGCCCCGCCACGCCACGCCACGCCACGCCCCACGCAGTCACGTCTCATGCATTCATTCTAATAGCGGCAAGATGCCTTTGCGAATACAGAAAAGAGCAAAGCGGCGCACACGGCCTTACGTGTCGGGGCGGGCAGGGCCAGCACCCCCCCACCCCCACCCCCACCCCCCATGGCGCTCGGCGCGCGAGAGGGTAAAAATCTCAGAAAACATCAACTGATCCAGGCTTCAGGGCGGAGGAAAAAAAACTAGGTCGCGAAGAAAGCGAGCACGTACCGCGTGTGCAGTGTTGGAGAGGAGAAAAGGGGGGTAGGTTAGGCCAGTCCAGCCGCGTCCCTGCGACAAATACATAACTTAGTTGTGGAACTGTCGTCAAGCGAGCCATACCGACGCACAATGCAGTTAGAACCAGATGCAGATGCGCGGCGGGGGCTGGGCGCTCAGCGTGACAAGGACGCCCCCGCTACCCCCGCGCGGCCCGTGCTATGAGGGCAGGCCAGATCTCATTTCCTACTCCCCCTGCCCTCCCCTGCGCACGGTCTCGGCGCACACAACAGGCGTGCGAGCGTGCGCTCCCTCGCCACGCCGGCACGATTGGTTGCCTAACTCGCTCAGCAGCCGGCAACTAGAATGCGAGCGCCGTGCTCTAGCGCCGGAATTCGACGCAAGCCAGTAAAGTACTGCCGATGTTGGCCAGGGCCTTACATTGGACGGAGGGTGGGGAGTGTTTAAACAGAGTAGCGGCACGCTTACAAGTGCAAAAATAGCATGTGTACTACTTGTTGAACTAGTTGAACACGTAAGTGTTAAGCAGTTGCACACTTGGTTTAGCAGCAGTGTACCGGGTGATTCGGGGAAGACGCAGGTGCGGGCGAGTTTGCCTACTCTTACGAGCTCTCACCGGTAGGCAAACCCACCCGCACCTGCGTCTTCTCTGAATCAACCCCGGTTTAAGGGGTTGGATGATCAGCCCCTGCCCCAGCTCCGCCCCTCATACAGCCAGCTCCTGATCTTCCGCCGGACATTACTACTTCCCTTGCGAAGAGAAAGGAATGTTCGGAGCCGCAAATTCGATCAGTTGGCCGAGCGCACGAGGGCCTATCCCGCCGCCCCGCAACACCTGATGTTTTTGTAAAGTTGGCGATGGTCGGCCAGGAGGCCCGGCCTGCGCCGCCCTCTCGCCTCTGTCTGTGAGCGCGCGCTCCCCGCACTCCCAATCAAATAAGCAGGCAAAGTTTACAATCGTGGCGCAGGCCGGGGGCGGGCCGGGGGCGGGCCGGGGGCGGGCAGCGAGGCTCCCCGGGGAACGGGCCGAGCCGAGTGCGTGGCGCTGGTAACAAGCCGCGGGCCCGGGATTGGCCGCCACTGTACTTCCTAATTGCAAGAATAAGATTCTGGGAATGCCGGTGTATTAGACCCCGTCGAGCCGTCGGCGGCGCAAGCAGCAGCAGCCGCAGCAGCGCGCGAAAATCTGCTGCGCAGCAGACGCCTTCCTCCCACCCTCCCTCCCACCCGCACCGCAAGTGGCATTGTTTATTTCATCTCGCTCTCGTTCTCGTTCTCGCTCTCTCTCTCTCTCTCTCTCTCTCTCTCTCTCTCTCTCTCTCTCTCTAACAGCCCCCGCGAGTTGGCATCCTTGCAGCCCTTCCTGCTCCTCCTCCCCCGTGCTCGACTAAGATGAGAGGAAAGAGAAAAATATCCCCGAGGAATACTGATTTCCTTGGAGGACCCTTTCCCGCACCAGATCGGACCGGTGCGAGTCTTGCACTTCCGCTTTGATATTTGTGTTGGAAATGCTGATTACATGAACCACCGCGACTCTCTGCCCAGCGCCGCACCACAGCGGCTGCTGGCGTTGAGATGCTGTGGTCGGAGGAGGCGGGGCGGGCGGGGCGGAAGGCGCGACGAGCAATTCCCCGTCGCCACCCCGGCCTAATCCCTTTATTACTCACCCTTTTCCTCCCCCAGCCTCAGCGCTGCACGCGCGGTCTCGCTCACGGGCATTCCCTGCTGTCGCACGCCCATGGGCATTCCCTCCCTACTACTGCTGTCGCCCAACCGCACCCACGGGCATTCCCCCCCGTCGCCCGCCCACAATCGCGGGCATTCCCTGCTGTCACCTGCCAAACACCCACGGGCATTCCCTATGCTGTCACCAGCCAAACACACAAGGGCATTCCCTGCTGTCACCCGCTACCCACGGGCATTCCCTGCTTTTACCCGCCAAACACCCACGGGCCCCATGCTGTCGCTGTCGCCCCTAAACACTCACGAGCATTCCCTGATGTCGCCTACCAAACACCCACGGGCATTCCCTGGCCAAACACTCACGAGCATATTCCCTGCTGTAACCTGCCAAAAGCCCACGGGCATTCCCTACTCACTGTTAACGCCGTGGTCGCCTACTTGCCAAAATGTTGGCAGTCCTATTCGATTGTCAATTTAAATTTTGGTTGTCAGTTGGTTGCCGATCGCTTGCCAATTTTTTTCTAATCTTTCTAAAGGCTGCCAACTTTTGGCCTCCTTTCTTGCCAAAATTTGGCAATCAAAAAGGACTGCCAACATTTTAGCAACCTAGGCGACCAACAGTGGTGTCACCCGCGACGACGACGACTGACGACTCTGTCGGCTGAACAAAGCGACACCCCACCCACTCCCACCCATCCCGCCACGATATAGTGCCAATAGTGTCAGCGCGGTGATCGGCCGTATCGACTGATCGAAATCGACGAGCGAGTGTGATTATAATCGCG